CAGTGAAAATAAAAAAAAATCAAAGAGGTTGCATTGGTGAGACCATTGACGCTGTAATACCTCTCAAAAGATGCCTCAAACCGGCCAGAAAGATTACTGATAATACTTCAAGTGGAAGTAACATTTTCAAGGAACGCTTTCTCCAACCAAATTACAGGTTTACTTCCTCCGCAATAGCAATTGATGATGTCAAGTTCAGTTCTTTGGTCACTGGCAAAAAGCGCTTAGTTTACGTACCATCAAATCTTGGTGAATTGAATCAGTAGCGTACGGTGTGGTATCGAGAACAAAAAGATTTGAAATCAAGTAGCTGAGTTGAATTTCTAGACAAAAGTTCAATGTTAATCCAAGCCAAATCATTAGGTCTGATTTACATTAACATAAAGTGACAGAAAAAAGTATCGTTTAACAACTGAATACGTGTTTTCTTATTTTTGTTCTCGATGCTGAATGTGCATCGCTTATTTTGAAGCTTAACGTTAATACCAAAAAAATGGAAGTGTTTCGTTTGTACTAATCTATGATTCATGAATTAATATTAATTATTTACAATATTGCCGATACATTCGGCACAGTAGTTCTCTAATATAAATAAAAATAAAAAACCAATAGAAAAATACTAATAATAATGATAATAATAATAATGATGATACCCAGCGGCAGCATAAAGACGAACTTTTCAAACCAACGAATCGATTAATCAATCATCCAGCAATTCAAATTTTGCGCGTTTTCGCTGACGTCCATCCTGTTCATCCTCTATTCCATATAAAGCATCTAAAAATCGAACTGATCCAGCGACTGGCGCCGGCACAGAGATTCCCACGATATTATTCATAGAATTCATGTATTCTTCACTGCACATTGATGCAACTGTGAATTGAGGTGGAACCCACGAACCACCTCTATTAATGATGTCTCCAGAATTACTTTTGACATGATTGTTATTATTATTGTTATTATTGTTATTGATGTTGTTGTTGATAGTTATTGGTTGATTGCTTTGAACAAGTGCGCCGTTTCTGTCGGGAAGACTTAATGGTCGTTGAATTTCTTGGAAATTAGGCATAGCTTTAAGATGCACACAATATCTTTCCAACATTGCAAGTAGATTATTTTGAGTGAATGGTTTCGCCAAAATATCGTTCATTCCGTGTGAAAAGTAATTATAACAATCTTGTGCGGTGGTATTTGAAGTCATACTAATAATTGGCGTAGTTGGATCAAATCGTCGTATTTGATTTGTTGCCTCCACCCCTAGAAACATATGAACGAACAAGTTTATAAATAAATAAATAAATAAATAAATTTTATAAATAAATAATGGTAAACAATTACCATTCAAATTTGGAAGAACGATATCCATCAAGACTAGATCATATTTTGCTAGTTGATCATATTTTGCTAGGTTCATTTTATCGACTGCTGTTATTCCATCAGTAGCGATGTCGATTGTACATCCAAAAATTTGCAAAAATTTCGATCCAATTCTTTGATAAACTGCATCATCTTCCACTAATAAGACTTTGGGTGGAACCGACCACACAGGAACAACAGTAGAACGTCGAACACGTAAAGTTTTTGAGTCGCGTTGAGCCGATGTATTGTCAATGTGTGGCATATGTGAAGCTGTGGAGTTAATATTAGTGGTAGTAGTGGATGCTGTCGCGAGATTATCAGAAAGTGGTACGGATTGAGTTTGTTGTCTTGGAGCCAAATGACCAACAGTGACCACCGTTAACCCATTATTATCAGTGTGACTGCCGTTAAACCCAATATCAGTCGAATTCCGTGCATAAACGTTGTTATCCTGCATCTGAAGTGATAATGCTGATGAGGAGGAAGTAGCCTGAGATGAATTTATCATTGAAATATGATTATTTTGATGATGTTTTGCAGCTGATAACGGCACTTGTGATAGATGCAAATTTTGTGAATTATTTATATTATTTATTTCAGAGGTACTGGAAGCGTTCTCGGAATCACTAACGGTTGATTGTGTACCAACAACATCCGATGACGAGATCTCTGGTGGTGGCGTAATCGGGGAATTTGATGGATTTGAAGAATTTGAAGAAGAAAATGCTCCGACTTGATTAACACTGCTACTACTATCCGCACCGAGTTGATTGAATGATTGTTGTGCACGTCTCGAGATTTCGTTCATTTGATCAAAAGATGCACGAGCGACTTCTGCGTATGAGCTTATAAGTTTTTGTGCTTGTTCAGATGGGATAAATGGAGTTGAGCCTTCAGATGTCATTCCTTGGAATGATTTGTTGTTCAACACTACAGAGCAACCGGACTTTTCTTCTTGTAAGGATCAGGAAATATGCAATATAGTTACGAATCAAGACAAGAATTCGTTCGTTGTTGTTATCGAACAATAAGCAGAAAAGATAGTTAGTGAATTTATTTTTTTTGTACAAAGGAGAAAATATTACCTCAAATAATTCCACCGCAAAATAAATTAAAATTAAACCCACCTGCTTCTTGAGTGACCAGATACTGAACGAGATTCTGCATTAATTGGTCTTGGGCAGCCATGTTCTTTTGAAAATTCAATAGATCTTGCACCACATTATGATAATTCTTGCTCAATGCGTGCAAATGGTTGTTCATATTGGTTTGGAGTTTCGTCAACGTGTTGACTTGCGATTGTAGTTCATTCAAGTGTGGATTGGTGGAAGGTTCGGTAGTTGTATTTTGCGTAGTATTTTTACGTCCGGCTGGTGTTTTTCTCTGTGATAATGCAAGAAATATTAATCATGTACTGAATTGAATCAATGAAATTAAAAAAATCAAACAATAATAAATACTTTGATGTTATCGAGTTGATCTCTTTTATCACATTGAAATTTTGGATGTCGGAATTCCCATGCCTAAAGCAAAAAAAGTTTTATGCATTTATTTGTTTATTGAATTATTCAATCAATCAATCAATCAATTAATTAATTAATTAATTCATTCATTCCTTCATTCATTCATTATGCTTCTTGTCATCTTTGAATGATTATGAAAAATGTACCTGTTCACCATATGGGGCGTTAGAGTCATCAGAGTTTCTTATTTTATGAAAGTCGTATTTGTTAAGTTGTCGAACGAAACTCGCAAAATTGGAGTGCTTAAAATGCCGTGGTAATATTGTCTTTGTGAATGCATCAATTTCCTATAATTTTTGTCACAAAAGTAGATTTAGTCTTTATTTATTTTTTGGGAAACTTTTTTACAATTTTATTATTGCAATACCTTAACAACGAAGCTGTCGCCATTTACACCCCAAGAAACTATGTCACTATACGATTCATCTTCAAGCATTCTGGAACGAAGAAAAAAGCACGTCAGCGAAAAACAGGTTCATCACGCGCGGTATAATAACAGGTAAACTGTTAAAAATGTAATATTATTCGCGACTTTTGATCAATGAGCTCAAAGTACTCAATCAAGTAACTTGGTTTTCATTAAATCAAACCACGTGTTCAGAGACGAAAATAGTGAGTGAATTATCACCCGGACCTTACTTGAAGAGCTTCTTTACGAAATCTGGACCCCCAGTTGCATTGCTCATTTTTTTGATCAAGATGAAAAATAAAAATCGAGAGAATATTGAGGTGACAAAAATTTGATTTGTATTTCTCAAGCGAATCCCACCACTATTTATTATTAGGGTTGGTGAGAAATTACACACAAAAATGAATGATGTAGAAATAGGTTTTGTTACACGCTGTATGTCCCCCCCCCCCCCCCCCCCAGTCGCACTACCTTAATGGCAAGAGTTATTTGTCTTTAACTCAAAGCACCATTAGGTGAGGATTATGTAAGAACTTTAGTAACGCAATTTGTAAGATATCCATTTGTTTTTTTGAACAGGCGATTTTTGATGATCTTTCCTGGTGTATTTGGAAATCTGTGTACTCCCTTCAAATCGGATGATATTAAATGATCATCCAAAATATAATATTATGTAATTAATGGAGAATATAATTGGTAATTGATTTTCTTACATTGTTCTCATCTGTTAGGATGGTGAAAGTTTTCATTTAAAAATTACGCGTTCGGATCTTTTTATTGAAACGCGTAAATGGTGTGTGAAGCGCAAAAAAATAGTGTTTTATTAAATATTTTGATAATCTCGACATATTTTTTTCGCATCTCCTGTGCGACTTACTACAATATCTCGAGAATACTTTAACTACTAGTCGGTTTTTTTTTTTGATAAATGAACAGTTCACGCGTCAAACAATTATTGCGACAATATCAACCGAGATTATATTTTTCTTATTCTTCTTCATCATTGTTAGTCTTCCGATAACCAAAATAATGAAAAGAATCTTAAAAAGTTTCAAGATGAAAATCAAGATTCTGTAGCCGACAAATTTAAATTTTTAAGTTTGTCAAATAACGAAGAGTCGGCATTTGGTGAACTTTCCCACTCCCAAACATCCCTAATCCATTCTTGTAAATTCACTTGTTTCAGTGCAGTTCGTTGAATGAACGGATGAAGTAGCATTTGCTTAGGAGTTGGGCGTTTTTGACCATCTTTCTCCAAACTAAATAAAAGATTCTTAACAATAAATAACAACACCGATACCAACATAACACAATAAAATCAATTCATTACCAAAATTTGAGAAACGACTTAAGATCCTCGCTCCATTCGTATTCGTTACTTAGTTCAGGCGCCGGTGCATTCGCAATATGTGCGACCAACTCGATTGGTGATAACTCCTCAGGATAGGGGAATCGATTCTGCGCTACTTCCATTATGGTTAGTCCAAGTGACCATACATCCGCAGAAACCCTATATGGCATGCCGGTAATTCTCTCGGGCTACATATATATACATATTTTTTTTAAAAAATCATGGATTGAAGTCGTTTTTCTCAAACAAAAAAATTAATTTAAAGAATATAATAGTGCCAAGCTCGAGCTATTATACTTACAGCCATGTAATAACTAGTGCCCAAAAACGTCGATGCTATAGATTGGACTAGTTTACCGGAAACACCGAGATCGCAGATTTTAATTTCTCCTCGTTTTGTCACGAGAATATTGGAAGGTTTGATATCTAAGATTTTTAGAAGATTTTCACGTTTAAATACTCGTTTTTTTCTACATTATAACCTAAAAATTACAAAGCCACTAACCTCTGTGGATGATATCATTATTATAAAGATGCACAAGTCCTTTAAGCACCTAATCATAAAATTCAAATTTTTATTGAATCATTTAACAGATGCTCTGTTTAACAAAAAAAAATGTTATCACTTCGATTTAAAAAAACCTCACAACTCATACCGACTCGCTGATTTTCCCTAACACGGTTTCACTAATACGTCCTTGTCTCGAACTAACTGTCTTGTAGATTGCATCTAGACTACCACCCTCACAAAATTCCATGATAATAGCAATTGATGAGCCTTCATCCTCTAAAAATGCTCCGTAGTATGAAACAATATTTGGCGAGTGGCATTTTTGAAGAAATTCAAGTTCTCGTAGAATTTGGCGATGAACCGTTGGCTCTGGGTCAACATTGATTTTCTAACAATTAATTAGTCACATTAATCACTGAGTCAACTTTCTTCCTTGCTTAAACTTGAGAACAATCAAATAGAAAAATCATGTAAAATGATAGATCGATAAATCCACGAATAATATTCATTCCAGACCAATTCACCAACCTTTTTCGCCATAATTTTTTTTGTAGCTTTATGCATAACCTTTGTCACCATTCCACCAGCCCCTTCACCCAACCGCTGTAACTCTTGAAAGTCGTCAGATTTCATTGCTGAACCTTCAAATCCAGACGTCGATACAATCACAGGAACTTCGTCTCCGTTTCCATATTCGCCGTCATTCGGTTGTACCTTTAAAATCTGCGTCCTAATTTCATTAGTAATTTGGGCTGTAGTGACTTTAGCATTTGATATATTTGATGCTGGTAGAATGAGGGGAGAAAGAGAAGATGGTGCTGAAGAAGGTGACGGTGAATTCATTGGTGACGGGATCTCCAGACGTCCTGGTAGGTTATTGCGGGCGCGGCCTCGTGTCGGACTTGCCATTTATTTGTTTGTTTCAGGTTTCAAAGATAGCGGACGGTTCGATAACTAAACTTTATACAATCCTAATAAAGTAACAAAAAGGTCTTTAAAGACAACGGGTAGTAGTTTTTCTCTAAAAAGTTAATGACGGTTTTCTTAATCACAGGTAAAGATGAATACTTTAATGCACATTGTCGATTATTTACTTCGGAAATATTCGCAACTTTTTGGGAAAATAAATCATCAAAAATTTTTGATAGGTTCCCCATTGTAATATAAGTGAAACGCGTAATTTAAAGTCTTTTATTCTTATATAAAAGTATACGCGTTAGCATTAGTATTTTCTTTACACATTCAGAATTTAACGACAACTAATCAAAACTTTGATTTAACGAAATCGGGAAATATACGTAATCGAGCCTTGTAGTTTGCTACAACTGCTACTTGCAGAATTTGACTTAGGTTTGACTTTTCCATTCTCAAATTTTGATGAATGCTATGGATTACTTTCGAATTTTACACAGAGCTAGAAAAATGAGCATACAAAATTCTACGCTCAAGAACAAAGTTTTCCATACTTGAATTCTGCATCAAATTTACCCGCAACGGTTTGCAGGGTGACTAAGGTTTTTATAATGATCGTGCAAGTCATTATTATGTAAGGTCGCATTTTTATCTACTCTATTTAAAGAACATTTAGTTGCTGATGTATCTCCGGGTAAGTTTTTTTTCGCAGGTTTTTATAGATTACTTCGAGCCACTTGTTAATATTTCAACACTATAGTAAAGCTGATCATTATCAAATAATTTATTCAGTTATAAAGTAATTTCAATACACTCTTGTCGACCAGATACTTGAGAGAAAAATAAAGTTTATTTACTTATCATTACTATTATTGATATATTATCATTGATATTATTATTGATATTATTATTGATATTATTATTGATATTATTATTATTATTAGTATTATTACCATAATATTATTTATCTCATAAATCTAATTGATATTCGAGATTCAAAATAGATTCAAAATATAAAGAAAGTGGATTCAATGACAGACTTGTAAAGTCCAAAATCAGAATACTTTTATCCGGTACTTCTTTCATCCCAAGCCCACTGCAATTTTTAACTTGATTGCGCAGCTTTTCTTTTATCCATGCTGTTAACTAGTATAAGGTATCGTGCACATATCTTCAAATAGAAAGCTATGTCCTGCGTCACACCTTATATCTATGATTTTTGGTTATTCGAATCCTTGCTTTTTTTCACACTCTGAGACGATCCTCAACCTCTTTTCTAGTTGCCTCGACCAATTCTTCTTGTTCCTTTTTAGTAGCATTAAAGTGTAGAACATTTGCTTGATTGAAAGGGTTCTCAGGGGATTTCTATAAGTAAACAGGTAAATTATTTTTAATCGAAAGAAAGAAGTTAAATAAGTGAAATCAAGAATTCGATTATTACCTGAAAATCTTTATAAAGAATGTCTCGTAATTGTGTATATCGTAATCCAGGATTTTCTTTTTTCAACTTTGGCATTTCTCTCTCTTCGTAAGCAGCCAAAGCAGCCTAATTATTTGACGCATTTGTATTAACTCAGGAATATCGATAAGAAACAGTAATCAATCATTACTAATTTTACCTTAAATCTGCGTTCAGGGTGTCTATCAATAGCTGCAGTAGTCAATGGTAGAATGTTCGCTCCCCCACCAGATCCACGTGCTACAGTATCCTCAGCAGCCACAACATTAAGCAAATCTATAGCATCGTCAATATTAGAAGCAGAATATTCAGGGATAACACGTCGTTCTGTTATCGCTTCTTCTACTTTTTGAGTTCTCTTTATTGCCTTTTTCTAATTAATATAACTCGAATATTAGCATTTCTATGGTATATTAATCGATCAATCATAATATCTAACTTTAGTTAACTAACCTCTTCTCCTGACACTTTTGAAGGTTTCAATATTGGTTTATATTTCGAGGCTTCTTTCTCTTCTTTTTCTAAAAGAGCAGCAGCCTCTCGTTTTTTCGCCAGTTGTGCTTCCTAAAGATTTATATTAACTCCTCAGTAATGCTGAATTGAAGATACAGGTAATAAAACTACTTGGCAAGGTATTATATACTAACCTTTTTTAGTCGCTCGGCTTCCCTTTTTGAAGAGTCCTTAGCTCCCTTTGCCCATTCTTCTGCTTCTTTACGCTCTTTTTCCGCTTGAATCTTGGAGTTTATTTCGGCTTTGTGGGCTGCTTTACGTTCTTTTGCAGCGGACACTAATCAAATGAAAGTTATCAAGTAAAAAAATCTCTTTTGAACTCGGAAAGTTTCAGGAAAGCTTTTTGAAGTTTTTACCTTTTGTATTTTCTCCTTTGAATTTTTTCGGCATCGTGTTAAAAAAAAGAAATAGTGATAATAATGATAAAAGTAAGAAAAATTAGACATTCAAAATTTTCGATATTTCGTATTTAAATATGGGATCCACAAATGTGATGTCAGAGTTGTCAGCTTCTCGTTCAACAAATTCAGGGCTAACCAGCTAAAGACTTGGAAATATGATATACAATAGAATAAGGAAAGAAGCTATACGCTTTCTGTATAGTTTTTCTCAAAGACCTAAGCGATGTGATTCGTTGGCAATTTGGCAAAAAAAAAGTTCTTTCGCTCGTTTGTCTCGGCGGCATACTCATAGTGTTGGCGGCACCACCACCACCACCACCACTACTACCATTACTACAGATCAACAGTTTCCAACACCAATAGTTACTTCCTTCAGTTTAGGACGTAAAAATCAAGACGAGTCACTTCGCCTAATATTCGACAATTATGATGAATGGCATTCATTTTGTGCTCTGCAATATAATTATTTCTCAAGTTCTTTAACAACCAAGTCGGCGGGGTTATTTCGAAATCCCGAGTTAACGTCACCACAAGGTTTTCAAGTGGCGACCGATAAAGCTTTGAATAAAGCAAAATCTATAGTTAATAGTATTCGCATAGCGAATACTGATGATGAATTACGCATGGTGGTAAAGAATTTAGATCAATTGTCAAATGTGTTATGTTCAGTGATAGATTTGGCGGAATTTATTCGAAATGCTCATCCAGATCAAGAATTTTCACAAGCGGCAAATCGTGCTTATGTAGATTTATGTTCGTATATGAATACCTTGAATACAAATACTGAATTATATAAGGTAAATGTACAGCCATTTTTGGATACTTTTGCCTCTACCTTTTTGGCATGCATAATTACAAATCAATCATTTTCCTATTATTACTTTACTACTACGTATAGTGAACACTCATCATGATCAAATAAATTGTGTGTTGTCGCTTAAATCCAGGTATTGAAATACGTGCTTTCAACACCTAGAATCTCTTCACATTTTTCTGACGAAGAAGTGCAAGTAGCCAATGTGTTTTTACGTGATTTTGAGAAATCGGGTATTCATCTTCCCTCGTCACAACGAGAACAATATGTAAAATTATCTGACAAGATTATTGCACTTGGTTGCAAATTCGCACAAACACCCCCAACTAGAGCTATTAAACAAATTGGAGTTTATCCCGCGTCACGTCTTGAAGGACTGAATCCGGAGTACATAGAAAATGTCAATCGGAATAAAGTGGCAGTATTACAAACTAATCAATGGGAAATGGTGTTGAAATACGTGAAAGATGAGCAAGTACGAAAAGACATGTATATAGCTGCAAATTCTGCGTCTAAGTCTCAAATAGATACATTAGAGGATTTATTGAGAACAAGAGCAGCATTGGCCAATCTTGTAGGCATGGAGAGTTACGGTCACATGTTTCTTAACGATAAAATGGTTAAAACACCAGGTAGGTGTGTAATATTTCGTATTTTGAATATTTTCATATCAGTCAATTCAATCTAATCTGAATAGACTGAAAAATTTTTTTCACGTAATGAATCAATAAAAAAAAAGAGAACGTGCAAACTTTTTTGCGTACTCTTGCAGATCATCATCGTCCTAAGGCACTTGCGGATCTTAAGCTTCTTCAAAAAGCCAAGCAAAAATATACGGACTCGAAAGTTCCAGTAACATTAAATGCATGGGATCGGGATTATTACACCGCTGCGGTGATGTCACAATCTTTTACTCAGCCATTAGCCCCAATTTCTCCCTATTTCTCTGTTGGCTCCGTCATTCAAGGATTGTCGATGCTTTTCTCACGATTATATGGTATTTCATTTCAACCCGCCGAAGTTTTGCCTGGTGAAGTGTGGCATGAAGATGTTCGGAAATTGGATGTTGTCGATGAGACAGAAGGAAAAGTCGGTACTATCTACTGTGATTTGTTTCATCGACATGGCAAATTCCAAAATGCTGCTCATTACACTGTAAGATGCTCGAGACGCGTTGATGTTGACCATGATAACAAAAGTGATTATCTCATTTCTGATAATTTGGATTTAACAGAATTTAATGATTTACCGTCATTTAATCGAGGAGTGAAAGTGAACGGAAAAACCGGACTTTATCAGCTGCCTGTTGTAGTGTTAATGTGTGATTTTGCAAGACCAATAAGTCGAAATGATCCAACTCTACTAAGTTGGAATGAAGTAGAAACATTATTCCATGAAATGGGTCACGCGATGCATTGTGAGTATGGGCATATATCGCATCGTATTATTATTATCAACTTACTGACATGTTTCATTATAATATAGCCATGATTGGTCGAACAGATTTTCACAATGTTGCTGGTACAAAATTTTCTTGTTTACTTATAAAATTTATTATTATGCTAAATTCGAGACAAGTATTAATCAATTCATTGTCCTATAAATAAGGTACCCGATGTCCTACAGATTTTGTGGAGTTACCGTCAATATTAATGGAACATTTTGTCTCATCGCCTCAAGTTCTCGAAATATTCGCGAATCATTATCAGACTCGAGATCCAATACCCCATAATTTAATCCAATCTCATAAAAAAGCACATTCAACATTTGCTGCAATCGACATACAACTTCAAATAGTAATGGCTTTACTAGATCAACTTTATCATTCATCACTCGCCACAACTCCGTCTTTTGACACGACAGCCATTCTAGCTAATCTACAAGACACGGTCGGTCCATTTCCGTCCGTGCCAAATACTGCCTGGCAAATACAATTCGCGCATTTATTTGGATACGGGGCAGGCTATTATAGTTATTTGTTTGGACAAGTTCTAGCGGGGAAGTTATGGAAAGAAATTTTCGAAAAGGATCCACTAAGTAGAGAAGCTGGGGAAAAGTTCCGCCGAGAAGTTTTGCAATGGGGTGGATCACGGGATCCGTGGTTATGCGTGGGAAGCGCGCTCAATGACGAGAGAATTGTTGCGGGTGATAATAAGTCGATGCTTATTGTTGGAGAATGGGTCGATTCTCTTTGAAAAAGAGTTTATAGAACATATCTATTTACGAATAGAAAAGCATCTTTGTTTTTAATTAATTGTTTATGGAATCTGACATCCGAACACAAAATCCTTTTCGACAAAAATAAAGCGAAGCTCTTTAAATAATAGAATCTTGTGGTCTAAAATGACGTTTAAACTTTTGTAATTTTCTTTAGCAATCTCATTAAAACGGCAAAATTTGCCCCAAATCCCCATGTTTTGACTATTACTATTCTTGATCATAAAAACGCGTGAATATCAGTAATTTAATTGATCATATCAACAACTCATGTTTGCAAAAATTAAAAAATTAACTTGATTATGTCTTCACTCCGTAATGCCGTTCAAAGACGAAACCACAAAGAACGAGCTCAACCTTACAAACGAGAACGCTATGGCATTCTTGAAAAACACAAGGACTATGTGCTTCGTGCAAGGGACTACCATGCAAAACAAGAACGCCTCAAAAAGTTGCGCGAGAAAGCGTACTTTCGAAATCCCGATGAATTTTATTTTAAAATGATTAATTCAAAAACAAAAGTACGGCTTTTTAAGAATCTGAATTGAAACAAAACTTTATATTAATTGCTCTTGTTAAAGGGAGGTGTTCATGTATCAGAAAGAAACAATGCCTTTTCTGGCGATGTCATCAAATTATTAAAATCCCAAGACTTGAATTACATTAAAACACAACGAGATATCGGAAGAAAGGTGATTTTTTTTTTGATTGACTCATGTTTTCTTTTGGGAATATTGTATAAAGACTTCACCTCAAATGAACTCGATAGAAAATTGAAAAATTACAAAATCAACTTCATTTTCTCGCGTCTAATGATGATGAAGTTGTTGACGAAGAGAATGAAGGAACAAAAAAAAAAGATAGTAACAAACAAGAAACATTACAAAAAAATGCAAATCGGATTGAATCGAATCATATTATTTTCTTTGATACCGAAGAAGAAGGTAATTTATTTTTTTTTGTCTTTCGTTTATAAGCTCTTTTGCGTGCGTAAGTTTTTAAGGGTAAATACTTTATCAATTGAAATTTAAAGTAAAGAATTTTGATCCGGCGAAACACTTTAATACGCTACCAGAATTGGTAAATCGTAAATTCAATCGGCCACGTATTGAAACTTTGGAAAAGCAAGCGTTGGTTTTGCCTGAGGATATTAAACAATTGCGGGTAATGAAGTTTATAATGTTTCATAAGAAAACCGTAATACATCTATAAACTAATAAACATTTTTAAATAAACAGAAGATGCAAAAAGAACGTATTAACAAGTACCAAGAATTGGCTGATCGTCTTGAACGTGAAGATAAATTTGTTACCTTGGAACAAGAGCTGGTTACGCAGAAAAATTTGATGGTTTGTATTTCTATAAATATGCATCAACAGAAAAAACAAATAGTTTGATTAGACTGCTCTTTCGTTTATTGAACAATTACATATCTCCTTTATTTAATAGGGTAAAGGACGTCGAAAAAAAGTTGGAATAGATAAAAATGGACTTGCGGTATACAAATGGAAGAATGAACGAAAGAAATAAATGATAATTAATATTAATTGCAATGATGATTTGGAAGAATAAATGACAATTATTAAATTATTATGAAAATTTGATAGTCTATAATAAAAGTAATGTCTATTAAATATTCTCTATATGATTCCATAGCCCAAAAATTTATACAAAATGAAAGATTATATGTTAATGATATACAAATAAAAAAAACCAGTTTATTGGTATAATTTCCCCAACAATAATTTCCCTTTGGATTCCTTTTCATCCTTTTCTGATACAGGTGAGGCTGATGAAACGGTTGCAGCTAATGATTTTGATTGCGAAGTGTGAGATATATTGCTAGCATCACTACTTCGTCGTGAACGTGCATTTGGGAACGGGAGAGTATCAACAAATGAAATTGAAGATGATTCGTGTATGTCTTGATGTTTTTTGGATCTGCAACAACAATAATAATATTAATGAATCTATTATAATAAAACGCGTAAACTTTAGTGTAACTAAGACAAACCTTAATCCAAGAAATCCTCTTTTCTTTTTTGATGTCGTTATGGTAACAGTTTGAGACGTTGTTATTTCTATTCCTATACCCTCATTACTCTTTATTGATCCTCTATCAGAAAGATGTTCTTCCGTTGATAATTCTTCTTCAGGGATCAAAGTGTCAATAGCGCTCTCGGGAAATATAGTCACGTCAGAAAAAGTGGACGCTGCGTCACTCTGACTTTGATTAACTGGCATTATCAGATCCAAAGTATTATTACTAACATTTTCCGGTCGATTCGGTTGCTCGTAGACTGGCAATAATGATGGTGAAACAATATTTGGCGTGGTCGTACGAGCACGACGTGATTGTAAAAATTTCTCGCGAACCAATGCACCGGTGTGTGAAAGAATCGTTTTAAGGATCTCTGATGCAAAATATATATTATTCCATCATTTTTCATTTTAATAGAATAAAATGCCGGAATAATCAGATATTTTACCTCTTTTCAAATGCTCCAATAAATCAAGCCATGACCAAGTTCTATTTCGATACTCTAGCGTCGGCAATTTAAATACAAAATCGTAAAGATCTTCAAGATTTTTTTCTTTTGCTCCCTGGATTTAATTACAAATGAAAAATAAGCAAAAATGAATTCAAATACCAGATAAATAAAAAAAATCACCTGATAACTGAAATTGTGCGTGACGCCAGGAATATTAATATATATAAATGTTTTGTTTTGAGAAGCACGCGTTTTCATTAACGCCAACTCATCCGATTCTTTCGAATACGAATGATCAGCGGTGAAACCAATGCGTGACCTTTTGCTTGGCCCGAAAGTGACACTAGAAAAATTACTTGAAGGTGACATCACTTCATTGGATACTATGTCTGTTTCACTATTACTATCAACAAGTGAAATTTCATCTCTTATCGTCGTTTCTGCAAGACCCTTTGAAGGAACCTTCGTACTAAAAACATCTGAACTTAAAGAATTACGCCTTGACGATATAGGACTATATAAGTTTGTTGAACCTTCCGTTGGTGTTGATAATTGTTCATTAATAGCTGACTGATGTTGATCAATAATAATAAGATTATTATTATTATTATTATTATTATTATTATTACTGGTGATAGTCTCCTCCCTTTTCTCTGGAAATATGTACATTACAATGTGTTTTCCAACTTCGTATTGCATTTGAAATTTCAATGGGAAGAAATTAACTTCTAAATGTTCAACAACAGCAATTCCAGCAACAGGTTCCCTTTCACGCCAATAAATTCGTAACATCTTATGACGACTGAAATCAACTGGTCGTTGCGGATCCGTGATATAAGGTTGAATTAATTTAGTGAACACAGGCGACGGCATTTTATTTAATACGCGTAAGTGATCAATTTCTAGTGTGTTTACGCTTGAATTATCTTCGCGAGTCATCCAAACAAAATGTGCATTTGTTAAGCCACATTCACAAAATGGTCTCCGATTATCCAATTTCATAAGCCAAACGACCTCATTTGCCGTAACTACGGCTTTTAATGCTGTATTACTTTCAGCTTTTTCTTTCTTCGTTTGGGTGGCAGTAATTGCCTCCATTAAGATATAAAGTTCTTCTTGTGAGCTTAATAATTCCGTTTTAATTTTCCACAATTCCTTTACGCCATCTTCTCCAAATTCCATTAGATTAGCCTGTATTTGACGTCGGTATTCATCCATTTGCCGAATTTTCTGCTGTAACGATGAAACCAGCTCTGCGGCGCCACTCAAATCATTTAAATCGGCAGCGAGTAAAATTGTTTCCAAACGTTCTGTTCGTTCTTTCTTGGCAGGTTCTCGGTACATTAGCAAATCTGCAACCATGTCGACAAATACACAATATTGTGCTGAGGTAGCCGAGAATTTAAACCGTGGGAAATTAATATGACACGAATCAATTCTCTTGTTAAACTTGTCTCCATGTGATTGACCCCATATAGTAGATTCTGAATTGTCATCTTGGTCCAGATCAGAACTTATTATACGTAAATGATTGAATTTTTCATATAACATTGTCGCAGATGTTCGCTTTACAATTCGTTGAAATGGAAATGAACTTTGCTTGTCATAATTAAATAAAGCCTCTACTGGAACCCACGCTGGCCAATTTTCTTTTCCTTTAGCACCAAAATTATTCGCAGTTAATCGTTCAGAGTATTCACTATTGAAATCTTTTTTCCAAGTGAGAAAAAATTGAGTATTATCCAATCCAAAAAATATTCGCGACTTGATCACTTCATTTGCATCTCCCTTTAATCGATCCTCAAGAATAGAAACACTTTTTAATTGTGCCCTTTCAGACGACATGATGATACTAGCCGAAGGGTTTTTATCACTTTGAAAGTTAATCTGAGTGTTGAAAAGCTGTACAAGATAATTTTTCCATAATGAGTACCCAGCAGGAATGTCATCAAATTGATTCATAGACTTTTTACGCGCTATCCGATGACTTTCATTTTCAGTAACATCATCAGCGACTATTGGTACTTCGTTTGGCACCACAAAACTTGTATTTTCCTCCCCGACTAATTTACGCAATAATTCTGCAGCCATATGAGCATCAAATGCCTCTTTATCAAAAGAAGTTGTTGCTGTATTGGAATCAAGTTCTTCGGTAGATAACTTTTCTATTTTTTCGTTGTTTTTCTGTAGATCCCGAATAAGCTTGACAGCATTCATTGACATGTAATATGCGAGACCTTGTTGTTGTTCAACCAAGTCCCAAAATTTATAAATAAGATTTCGTAACGAATTATTCCATAGTACTTGAGCATTATGTATTACGAAACGATGACTAAATTGACCCAGTGAATCGGTCCATAACGGAGCATTATATCCATGAATATTATCCTCTGGCAAACCCTCTTTTTCATCATTATATTTATTGTCAGTTTCATCCCCATTGTCATCGTCTTCATCATCAAGTTCTATTTGCGTACATTGCTGATATCCATTGTGAACATTTGGATCATTGTTAAGACTTTCTTCGAGACTTTCAATGTAATGTTGTATTAAATTTCGCTTACGTAACAAAATTTTGTTCGTTTTTTTAATGAATTGCGACTTTAATTCAACAGTAGGTTAGTAATTAATTCTGAAGTAAAAACAGATGAGAGAATTCAATGATTACCTCATCACTAAGCTCTCTTAAGTCTTGATTCTTTGCATCCGAGACAATCAATTCATCAATATCTTTTAAAAGTTGTGCTAGCTTCAAATTTTCATGATTAATTTGATTCAAACGTTCCTTTAAAAGATAAATTTGAATTTCACGTGTATCTGATGTGAAAATTTATAGATTAGAATATTTTCGACCAATTATTATGAATAAACATCAAAAACTACCTCGTCCTTGACCCATCACACAAACGTGAGCCTCTTGATCCATTTTTTTGTCTTCATCTGTGTCATCTTCTGGTGCATGCTTATAATACATCAATTGTGGACAACGCATAAATGGCAACACGCGAACTTTTGGTTTGACATTTGGTAATGAAGAATCGACTTCCTTATAATCATCTTCATCCACCCATTCTTCATCCTCAGGATTGATCAAGACAAAATCTTCATCCTTGCCCAATTGATCATTACATCCTTTCTCTTCAAATTCATCATCATCTCCACAAAATGAATCCTCGACATATCGCGCAGCGATTCCACGTACATCCAAATTTTTTAGATCCATCTCTGCCTCATGTAACGTCATATCACGAACTTTGACTTTGCCTTCATCTACCTGTACAAACGTTTCTTGGATTTTTTGATGTATATCAATTTTGAAATGTCCAATTTTTCCCTTTAAGCCGACTATTTGTGTCCGTCCATCGGTCCAATCGTCGAGCGCATCTTCTTTATAGAAATAACTCAAGAACAACGGGGCTAAGCAGACTTTATATTTTAACGTATGCAAAAATTTTGGAAGCTTCGGAGATGGGAGTTCATGTGTTGGGAAAAGAGCACCAGTTCGAATAGGTAAAGTCATGGCATTATCAAAAAGAGAAATCCAAGCCAAAGCATGTTGAATCGATTTTGGTGTGACATGTATTGAATTATATGATCCGACTTGCTGCTTCTCACCATTATGTTTATTGCTATTGATAGGATTTGAACTCATGCAATCATCTTCGTCAATCCAAATTATAGGACACATCATACTAAATGACAGATGTACTATATCCGAGCGAAACCCTTTGAAAGAATCATACACCTATTTTTGATTTATTTAATATTAATTATTTGCTTTTGGGAACTAATTTATTAATTTAATATTTGACTTACTTGATTATCAGTAGAAAATGCATATTCAGGGACTCTTGTGATAACTTCGTAATGTGGAATGAAATCGTTGAGACGACAATTACCCTGTCCACGACATCGCGGGCAAGTTCCTTGGTCATTACGGCAACTCCGATGAAATTGACATCCCATTCCATATCTCACACCACCTCCAATTTTCATAATCACTTTAATTAGACCTGCATTAGGCCCGTAATCTACAAGCGTATCTGATGAACTTTGAGTTTTCATAGTTCTAGCCTCCGGATCACGTACCAACTCCTTTCTGAATTTCTTTTCACCTATTATATGATTATCGGCGGATAAACTTCCACTTGCAATCATTTCAGCCAAATCTGGAATTCCTAGTATAAACTCCTCGCTATCCACTTGCAAAAATTCACCAGCATCATTCGAATATCCTAATCGAATATTTACACCATTTCGAAAACATAAGACAAACCCAGATCCAAGGCCAGTAACAAAATACGGGTCCTTTGAACCTTTCGATAAGAAGCGTACATCGCCACCTCCCTTGAATTCCATCATAATTCGGATATGCATCATCAATCGAAGTTTATCCCAGAATCCGACCAATTCCGAAGGATCTGGACTTGGTTTCGTAAAAGTTTCAAATATCCTTGCAATATCCAATATTGCAGGTTGCATAGATATTCCCCATGAAAATACTGTAGTATGAGTGGAATTTATATGAATATTCAAATCAGAATATATTTTTACGGGTGAACATGTCCTAGGCACCAGAATACTGTGAATTCCACCGGATCCATTATATTGAGCAGGAACAACGGTGACAGTAGCCTTTCGAACAACTTCTATCCCGCGAAGTTCCTCTCCTATAACAAGATCTCCATCAAATAACGATGAGTACAATTTTTTAGCTTCGAAGGATTCCATTGAAGGAAGATGTGCTAAAGGAGTGGGATAGTCTCTTATTTGTACCCATGCTTCTTTTAGTTTGCAGTTCAAATGCATCGGGACTAAAAGTGTGAATTTAGTATCTAATGGTAATCCTTTTCCGATTTTGTGCATAAATTGTGGAAGCTGTTCCATAGGAAATGATGGAGTCGAAAGTGTGATTAATGCTCTTTCAATGGTGACTTTTAATAAAGATGGCGGTGATGATGAGGTATCTGTCGTCTTAATTGGAAGTTGATCTTGTTTACTATTATTTTTATTTTTTTTTGCATTTGATTTGGCACGCGTTTCGTCAGCTGCTTTGACGCGTTTAATCCAGTTCCGCGAGTTATACTCGTCCAGTGCAAACCGCGCCTTTTCAATACTAATATTAGCTCGAGGAGAAGGTTGCGTGCGCAAATTTAATCGTGATTTTTTAACATTCGAGTCTGATCCATCATTTAATTCAATAGTTCCCGAACTTGAACCATAATTAGATGAATTACTACTAATGCTACTGTCAATCGAATTTCGTCTTCTCTCGACATTAGATTGCTTCTGTGGTTCGTGAGCTTTAATCGATTCAACTTTTGCATCAAACGCAGCATCTCTTTCTATCCTAGATCTCTGCTCTATTTCACCAATTTTCCATATTAGCCCTAATCGACCTTCAAACGGATCGTCTTCCAATTTAAATATCAAAATCTCAATTTTGAACTGTAAAGTCGGCAGACTAATTGGTCCTTCTTCCTCCGGTTCAAAAGAAATATTTTCTTTATCAAGAATTAATCTTTGATGTAATGTCTTTATGGATTTCACTAAGTTCCCGGTATTATCTAAAATATCGGCCATTATGTAATTGAATGGAATACGAACGTGCGCGGATTCAGAATGAAATCGTATTGTTTTTTCGGAATGTTTCTTGTTAAGAAGATCTAATATCAGGATACGTATATCAGTGAGATTCAAAAGTTCATCCCATAGTGTACTATTCGAGGGACTAATGCCGAAAGTGCGAATTCTTTCTATATTGACTCTGTGATCGATTGAAGCAGATGCAAATCTGTAATTTAATTTATCGACTCTCATGAAAAGATGGAGATTTTCGGGCAGCTCCGTAAAAATGTCTATATAATTGACTCCCAAACTAGTTTCAAATTTAAATTTGATAATTGACGATGAATTTTTCGAAGATGGTAAAGCAGTTGCAGATTTATTATTTGATGGCGTTTTCGAGGCTGTCAGAGGTGATATTAGATGCTTCAAATTCATAGCAGCAACCAATAAACAATAATGATAGAATAATGAGTAATTCAATTTGATTTCTTCAATTTTGACCTTTGATTCGACTATAAGATCGTGTTTTTCATAACCTAAGTACACTAAACAATGTGCTTCGATTTCCTTAATACTAAGTAATGGTCTTGTTGTTTTTAATAACTCCAGATCCCATAACGCCAGTATTGGAATTATTTTGAAGCCTCTCAAAAATCCTCTTATTTGTCCACCCTCTTCTTTTGTAGAATCGAGTTTGTCATCATTCGAAGAAAGCCCAAGACCAGCTCTTTCTTTGTGACAAGCAGTAGGATCATCACACACTCTAGCACCACGATACTCTAATGCGATAGCTTGCAAACTAACATCAAAACCACGCGAAACCAACGGATCAACTACAGAATCCTTTTCTGCAATCTTTATATTTATGGATGTAAGTGAAAAATGAAGCTGAACTGTTTCTGGAATCATTGGTGTTTGCATTATTTCCACGTCAGTAGACGGTGAAGGAGGATGAACAAAGATTTCAGGGTTTTCTTCCTCTAAATCATACACGGAATGGTGATCATTATTTTCTTTAAAATTTTTAATGTCTTTGAAAATGTCACTCAATAAGTTAAAGTCCTTTTTATCGCATAATTTGATTTCTAGGACATCTATTAACCAACTTAAATCCGCCTGCAATGTCTCTTTTTCTAAGACAGGTTTATTTGCTTGAAAACTTCCAAGCGCAGAAGCCACCACGTTAATTTCCCATGAATGATTGCTCAATAAATCATTCTCAAGTGTGTACACACGCATATTTCGCGTTTTCAAACACGCAACCAGATTGTAAACTAATGAAAAAGAAGGTGCGACCCAGCCCCTGCTATAACGTCTTGATGTCTGTTTACTTTGCGATAGATCATTCAGTTCGGCATAGTCACTATTAAAATCCACCAGAATATCTTGAAATCCAAATATAAGAGAAGAATCCTCACTTTCGCCATTATGAACTTGATCATTGTGAAAGTTTGAAATCCTATTGACTTTAAGAGTGGGTCGTAAGATTGAAACTGTAATCACAATTTTGGGAATATCACAATACTGATTCCGCAATTCAGGAGAAGTTGGTAAAGATGGATTGGATGGCAATTCAGAAAGAGGTTTATTTTTTGAACTTATATCATTTTTCAAAGCATTCATAATAACCAAATAAGAAGAAAGATGTTGACAGTCGATTAAAAGTTCTGGAATCAAAATATCAAGAGTCCCAATGAATGAAAATGAATTTGGATCCTCATCGTCTCGAAACTGATCAAATGGTTTTGAGATTTTCATAGTATTTACAACTTTGTCAATGTGCAAGGTTCTAGTTTTACCTCCCGAATCGAATAAATCCGCGTAACCACTAGCCAAGGAGAAATTAAACTCAAATGACAAAATTTTGGGCAATAATTCTGAGAAAAAAATTGATTTTCTATTTCCGGAGGAAAAGATGCTATCATTGTTTGCATGATGATCAAGTTTTTTGATAGAAGTGCAAATCTCAGCGATTGTCAGTTCAAGTCGAATTGGTAAAGAGAACTCGTTATCCAAGCAAATATATTCATATTTCATGTATATTTGTTCGATATTGATAGAGGCCGCACTGAGAAATTCTATTGAAATTTTTTTTCTTCGTGGCTGGACAATTCTACGACCAATAGAAGAATCGAAAAATGCTGATGAAAACGACTTATTTCGCAAATTGCTATTACTACTATTCATTGGTGGTGGTAATTGTGCTAAAGATGTGTTTTGAGACGATGAGGATTGTTTCGCTAGAGATAATTCACCCTTAATCACATTCATCAAGTGCAATATTCCATCTAGTCCAAGATTAATGTCTTTAATATTAACTTCAGGTTCGACGGAAATTAAGCTGATACACGTAGGAGATAAAAAACAGGACAACGTCAATGAAGAGAAATATGGAAGAGATAAAGCGGGTGATGATAATGACTTCTTACGAGAAGTTGATCCGATATCTATTATTGATAACGTACTAAATGTAAGCATGATTCTTAAGATTTTGTTTGAAAACATGTGTCGACTATTTTTAATAGAATGATTCTCTCGATGTGAATTTCCTTGATAATGCTCCTTAATGTTTTTATTGCTGTTGTTATTTTCATTTTCAACATGTGCGAATAATTTCGAGTCTAACATCACCCCCTCCACTCTAAATTGTCCTAAATCATCTACTACCACCTCCACCTCTGTAATTTGTAATGCTATGGTATTAGTCAAAACCGAGAGCACAAATTGAAAAGGGATCACTGAGATTTTCGCCATCGCAAATTTCAACACCCATAAAGAAGACCACCACGCTTTTTGTGGAACGGCGGTTATCAAACTCTTTTGTTGGCGTTGCGGTGCTGGTTGCGCAGTATGAGAATTTATTACTAGCTTTAATGAGGAAACTGACACTTTGACACCTTCGACTGTTAAAGTAAGCCATGCTCCTCTTTGAGCAGTTGACGAACTTGTTGCTGCTCGTCGTCGAGCTATTTGTATATGTATTTTATTGATGGCGATGCTAAATGTGTATTGTTCTTGTTGGGTTCCATTCGGTTGACATTTGTTGGTATACAAAATATCTGATAAAGACAAGAATCCTATAGATCCTACGCGTACTTTAAATTTTTTGTCGATAAAATGTAAGAGAAAGCGGCTACCTAAATATAAAGTAAGGCAAAATACTAAAAAAAAGAGAAAGACTCCTGAAGAAGCCATTACCAAGTGTGTACAGTATCGCTAATACGCGATTTATTATGCTCTTGTTCTCAACTAATTATCGTTATGGCTACACGTAGAAAATGTTACACACGCATCTAGAAGATTGATCTCCATAAACAACAACTATGGCGTCGATCATGTGATTTTTTGGGTATATACTCCCTCCTTATAGACATCTTGTTCCCTAAATATAATGACATTCCCAATTAAACTCACTCCTTATACCGACAATGAATCTTAAATCATTATTTAATGGAGAACGTAGTTTTAGTGCTTATAACAAAATTTTGGATGATGATAGGCAAATCTTTGTAAAGAATCTTTTCGTGCGCTTACGATTATATATTATAATAATAATTAATATATATTAATAAAATTCAACTTCGGAATTTTTTCAGTTATATGAAAATGTCACGTATGATTTGCATAATATAGTAGGCGACAATAACGATAAGCCATCAACATTTTTATATGTGATAGTCACGTGAAAAATAATATTAAAAAAGTTAATTGGCTAGAAAAATCACATGAAATAAATTTGAACTAGAATTTTATATTTTGTTTCTTATAATAAAAAATAATGTAAGTATTAGATATTAAATATATAAGAAATAAATAAATTTATTAGAAGATTTAATACTTTTATAAATTATATAATTTATTAGTTTAATTAAACTTTCTTAAAATATTTTATCAATTAGATTGCAAGATTAGTATATAATGCAAAAATTTCAAAAATTAAATTTATTTTTTAACAAGTTTATCATTTTTATTAAGAATTATTTTATTTATAATAATTAAAAATAAGTTATATTATAATAAAATTATACAAGAAAAATTTTTTATTAAAGTATAAAAGATAATTAACTAAATTATATATCTAATTTTTTCAAAATAAATATTTATTTTAAATTTTTATATTATAATTAATTCTAACTTTTTATTAATTAATTTTTAATTAAATTATTATATAAATAAAAAATTAATTTTATATATTTTAAATAAAAAAAAGAAGTTATATATTTATAAAAATATTAAATCTTCTAATAAAATTAAAATAAATTAAAAATAAGAAAATAAATATATATATATATATTATATAATCATCAATAAATTTGATAGATATCAGATTAGTAATGATCAGTAAATATGCTAATTATCACTGATTTTTTGATTACACCAATCCAAAATCTGCATAGAACTCTGAAAATAGAAATTTTGGAGAAGTATAATCTGAAGAAACTGTAATAATTAGCTTAATTACAGATTATTACAGTTTTTTGGACAGAAATTAAATAAATAAATGATAAAAAATTGATTATATACATTATCATTTATTTTTTTTTGAAGTTTACTACAGGTACAAATTTAACTTTAAAATTCTTTGTCTATTAGTTTTTTAAAACATATATTTATTTAATAAAAAAAGATTTTTTTTGTCAAATCTTGACATAATATGTACCTCTTGTTCTATAGATTCTATTAGAATTATATTATATTCTTTAGTATAGTATAGATAAGAGCAACCATACTTTTCTGATTCATTTAGCATAATATTATACTAACAAACTATAACAAGATTATATAGATTCTTTGTTGATTCTTAAAAAAATCATAGAAAGAGCAATACCTTTTGGAAGGAAATATGAAGATTAATTCATTTAAAATTGCTAAATTTGAAATTATATTTTACTATTCTTCAAGTTATATTTACCTTTTCATATCAAGTATCTTTATCTAATCTATAATGGCTTTGATCTTTAGCTGAAATTACTGTAATATTACTAAACTACTCTTTGTCATGAAAATTTCCAGATATTCTTAGAATTTTATCACTTTCCAAATGAACCATGTCATAAATTTTTATACAAAAGTCTTTGTTTTTGGACTTTTGTGATAATATATTAAGAAAAATATCTAATATAGTAATTATGTATGATAATTCTTCAATGAAGTTTGGATGTGATGAACTCTCTAAATTCTTCAATAAAACCACTTTTGTTTCAATAGTATCCAAAGATAATTTCTATAATATCTTGCCAAATCTCATAGTTTTATGATAAACTATCTTACTCATCATTAGAGCTAATTCTTTGTATTTTACTTATAAGTATAATTTAGAATTTATAACAAATTGATTATAATTAACATACTTGACTTACTGTATTTACTATCTGCTACATGATATTTTTTCTATTTAATAACTGGTATGGATTTTTCACATATGATTTGTAAAGTGTTTCATATATTTCTATCAAGAGACCATTCAAGATATTATATTTATGAATTATCAGAATCACATGATAGTGTCAACTATGTAATTTAAGAAAACTACATTCCATAGTAGATAGTGATGAGAAGATTCTCTTAAATTTAGTTAACCAGTTAATCATAAGAATCTGTATCTATTTTTAAAGTCCATTATTAGTTCTTTAAAGTTTAATTGATTTTGTTTTATTTTATCTCAAATTCTTTTAAATCATTTTCAGTAAATGA